ATCTCAAAATAATAATAATAATAATAATAATAATAATAATAATAATAATAATAATAATAATAATAATAATAATAATAATAATAATAATAACAATAATAATAATAATAATAATAATAATAAAACCAAAAAAAAAAAAATTAACCAATTATTGTGTTAATCATTTTACTTGTTAAATACGATTAAGCTATAAATTTAGCTTAACCACATGTACTAAATTATAGTACTCCTAGGTACAAAACCAGTCACGCTATTAGGGCAAAAATGACTCTATAGAATTAAATGTGACGTAATATTAGCACTGTTGCAAAAATCGATCTAGGCGCTAGGCGTCCCTAGATCGTGGAGATTTACACCCTAGGCATCTGCTTAGCGTCTAACTCGATCAAATTCGGCCGAGTTAACTCGTTCATTTCGACCGAGTTAACCCGGTCAGCTCGGCCTTGCTAGTTTTTTTCATTTTATATATATATATATATATATATATATATATATATATATATATATATATATATATATATATATATATATATATATATATATATATATGGGAAGCATTCAGGTGCGGGAATGGTTTCCCGTGCGGTTGGATGCACCTTAAGCATTAAAATAGCGCACCTTAAGTACACAAATCACCACGCACTTTAAGCACACAAACAAAGCACCTTAAGAACAAAAATCACTCATCTTAAGTACATAAATCACGCACCTTAAGCACAGAACAAAGCACATTAAGCACAAAATCCACGCACCTAAGATTTTAAAATGGTTCACATCAAGCACAAAACTCACGCACATTAAGCACAAAACACACGCACCTTGAGAACAAATCTCACGCACCTTCAGCACAAAACCCACGCACTTTAAGTTTTACCAACTACTCACATTAAGCACAAAACTCATGCACCTTAAGCACAAAACACACGCACCTTAAGCACAAATCTCACGGACCTTAAGTACAAAACCCACGCACTTTAAGTTTTAACAACTACTCACATTAAGCACAAAATCCACGCACCTTAAGCAAAAACTCACCCATATTAAACACAAAATTCATGCACCTTAAGCACAAATTTCACGCACCTTAAGCACAAAACTCACGCACCTTAAATTTGACTTAGATGCAAAATTACCAAATTGCTACCGCGTTTTTTTTTAATAAATTTTTGTAATCCTGGACTTTGATTTAAGCAAGATCTATCAATGGCTCATATTTAACCCTACAACCGCACATGGGGCTACCAACCGCACCAGAACCTAATTATGTGTGTGTGTGTGTGTGTGTGTGTGTGTGTGTGTAATATGACATATATACACCCACACATGTGCACTGCTTTTTTTTTTTAGTTAGCCGCATATGCTCCCGCCCAGGTCGCCTAAGCGCTACTCTACCGCCCGACTAGCGCCTAGTGCCTACTACAACCATAATTATCAGTAGTTGAGAATAAATGCAATCACCTTCAAACTTAACGATCAAAAATAGAAAAATACAATAATTCTGGGATTAAAATTATAATTAACTCTTCTTTCTTTCTTTCTTTCTTTCTTTCTTTCTTTTTTTTTTTTTTTTTTTTTTTTTGCATGGTTGACATGGTTTGATTAGGGATTATCACAACATATCAAATGACATAGTATACATCTACCACCACAACAAGTAGGCAGATGACATTTCTTGTAGGCAGGTCCATCCATCTATTTGTCACCTTATTCTAACCTGTTTTTTCCTATAAAATGAGAATCAATTGAAAGGATGGATTTGCATTTATGTTTAATCAGCCACAGGCAGCCTCTTTAATTTGAATTATCTCTACCAAGAAATGTGCATACTCACTGTAAACCCAACCTAATGATAAAGACTAAGCAACCTATTCAAAAACACCCAATCAAGCAATCTATAATTATCTTGTTTAATTAATTGCATTCAACTTGTTAATTATATCTTGTCTAGCTTGAAACATATGACAAAGATGTGCATAATAACAACTTTGTCAATCTTTATAAATCAAGGTTGTGCAAATTAAAGAGAGTTAATACATCAAAATTGTGACACATATCAACTACCATTATTACCTTTATTACATAAAGTTGAACCAATTCACCATAAATAAAATTGAAAACTTCACACATTGTTGGTACGATGCATACTCAAACCTAATCCTAATTAAGTGCATCCTTCACATTTTTGCACAAGAAGACCTTTTTCACACCAAACCTCAGCTTATGTAGTTATGTGTATGAAAAGTCTACAGTGTCAATAGGATGTGGATGTTTTTTGCGGAATGTACAAATCTAAAAAGATTTCGAATAAGGTTAGTTTAGGTTTGTCCTTAGTACTATCGAGACAATGTTCTTCACAGTACACAATACAAACTCAAAATCTTACTCATTCACTTTTGAGTTGTACTTGGTGTGAGAGACACTAATATATATATATATATATATATATATATATATATATATATATATATATATATATATGGTCGGCTGAGGTGCGAGCTGAAGGAATGCATTGCAATTACTCAACGAATGCACCACACAACTCCAGAATGTCGAACTAAAGGAATGCACCACAATTACTCCACCAATGCACTGTACTACTCTAGCATGCCGAACTGAAGGAATGCAGCGCAATTACTCCACAAATTCACGACACTACTCCATCATGCCTGGGAGACGCGCAAAAACCTTGCGGTGCATTCCTTCTCAGATTCATCGAATGCACCGCACTACTCCACAAATGCACCGCAATTATCTGATTCGTCGAATTTTTACAGATGTAAGAATGAGATTAGTTCTTATTTATCTCCTATGGTACTATTCTGACAAGATCCATAATTAGCCTCTGTGTGTGTGTGTGTGTGTTCAAATTAAAACATGGTCCTTCCGTAAAAAGTGATGATTGATCACAACTGCTTATCACGTTCATCAATGCTTGAGGGTCTAATAAAAAAAATGGTGTAAATTTTATAATTATTGTAAATTTTCAAATTCACAATATTTATAAAACGGACCTACTCATTTTCTCCTTGTTTTTCAAAAACCTTCTCCTTATGTGAGAATTTGTTTTCAGTTCGTTCTTACATAAACCCTCTCCTATACATATATAATCCTAACTCAAAGTCAATCGTTATTTCTAAAAAGAATTTAGATCCCTTGTCCGATCCGCTAAACCATTGAGTCACCGTGATTTATATCCCCCCAAATGCTCTGTCTGGACGGTGTGGGGGGACCCTTAGGGTTGGGGATTCAACCTTTTGGGAGAAGATTTTAGATTGTTTGATCTTAGAGTTAGTTGGAGAGGAGTCCTCATCACAAAGAGTTGTGTTCTATCTATTCATTCGGAACATTGATGGATCTAAATTACATTTATTTTAAAGTTACTTAGTCTATATTATTTATGAGTAATATAATGTGTTGTATTTTTTGTGAGAATATTTATTATATTTGATCACCCATTGTATTGCAGTCCACGTTTTGTGCGTGCATTGGTCCCAAACGACACTTCAAACTACTCCAAATATAAATATGGATATATACTTGCAAACCGCAACCTTTGAATTCTGTCAACGGGCCATTGGACAAGGAAGTCCCACACTACATTCATTTTCTTCAAAGTCAAGAATGGGAAAGTACCTATATAATATATATGTATATATATATATATAGAATATAGAATATATATAGTGATCACCAACTCAAAACACCCTATGAACCCATGTTTCTCATTGGAAGCCAACATTGGTCCATTTGCAAATAATCATGGTTCATGACTATACTCCCATTAGAAAAGTTGCCTCCATTTTGACCTAAAAAAGCCAAAGTTATTGCTAAGTTGTTTCCAATTGGGATTTCGGATTAGTCACTAACCACCTCAGTCCAAACCAAAGGAATGAATTTGAGATTTTGGAAAGATAAATGGAAATGGAATGCAATATAATCATGAAGCTTTTGCATGTGTGGTGTTTGTATGCAAATTATTATCATTGAGGACTCCCTTTTGTCGGAAGACTTTACCCGTGCTAGTATTTTTAGGCTGCTATTATTTTTTTAAAAAAAAATTGTAGATTTAGACTAACAGAGTTAATTAAACAAAGCCTAGATAAATATTTATTGAGAACTTGATGTTTTACAATGTTAGGATAATACTTCTTAGGAAACAATCACATCAACTCTTCTCATATTAAATCATCAAGAATTAAATAAATAAATAAAATAAATAAATAAAACCAAATGTACATATGAATCCATGATGATCTTATTATATGATCACATATCGACTTGACAAGAGATTATGAAGTGATACTTAAGTTAAGGTCAAACATTATTTCTTGAACTAGCTTTTGTGGTGGAGTTAGAACCTTAACTTGAATATAATGTCGCATGACAGAGAATGACTACCTAGAAGGTAACCACTTTGGACGGCTTCACTCTGAACCTTCAAGTGTGGAGATGGTAACCCAGCATTGGATTAAGGATCCAGCAATCTCCCATTCGAGCTATATGTGTAACTTTGTAGTTGCACATTCTAAAATAACTATATGAACTCAATTTTGTTATGATTACTGAAATATGAGAATAACACCTATAGAAATATAAACATATTCTTTTACAAGGAAAAAATTCTTAATCCCCACAAAGTCTCTCCAAGTCTAAAACATGATGCATTCAACAAACATTCTACACTGATGGCACCATGCCATTTCTTAGAGATCCAATAATTTGATTGAGGAAAGAGTAAGGCTTTGCAAGGATTGATTCATTGCCAAGATCTTATATTGAACAAATAAAACAAATTAGAACATTTCAATTTGATCATAGTAAAGCCCAATTTGGACTACTCAGCTCAATGGGAAACAAGTATTACTTTAATTTTGATAACCATAGCCTTCCCTCTAACTCTATAGTTCTCTTGAAATCTAGAGATTTCACTAATAACACACCAAGCTATTGCATCTTCAATTAAGATTAGAAAATCGAATTTCTACAACTTTAATGATACTTTATGCACAGACAACTGGAAACAATAAAAATGTTAAATTATGTGTTCTTTAGTGATAGTTTACTGCCTCAACAAAGAGGCAACAGCTCATATAAAAATGGTACAATTTTTTTAGTACAACTGAGGATCAAATGGTACAATATATAGCTTATGTGATCATATATTCTATGAAACCATTTGTTCAGAAAGTCGGGAGCATCAAAACCATACCCAACAAAAAAAAAATGACGTCCAGAAATTGCTTGCTATTTTGTCAGCTGCTGGTAACCTAATCTTGTTGAGGTGGCACACTGGTGGTGACAGTTTTCTCATCTCAGCTGACGTGGCACAATTGTCGGTAGCCTAATCTTTCTGAGGTGGCACACTGGTGGTGACAGTTTGCTGATGTGGCACAGCGGGTTTTTCTTGCTGAGGTGGTGTAGCAGACTCTTGTTTTTGCGGTGGTGCAGCAGCAGGAAGTTTTTGTTGAGCTTGGTCGTTGCTTTCTTGTTGGGTTGGTACACAGGGCCTCCAAATTGTTTCATTCCCAACATCCATTAAAGCAATCCCCTTAAGAGCCAAATCACTCCTAACCTGATCGCTTTTAGCGTAATCCTTTTCTTCCCTTGCTTTTGCTCTTTCGGCAATTGACTTCAAAATATCTTCTTCGGTCAACTCCGCTCTTATCAATGCTTTCTCTTTCAATTGCAGCAAAACCTGTGCAACGAAATAAGTCAGAATCTCATTATAAGGTGCCAGACGTTTCACTAATACAAAATCTCGGGTTGTACCTCAGAATAAGTTAAATCGGGTAGCAATCCAAGAACATCCAACACTGCCTTCATTTCTTTCTCCAACTCAGTAATGGAGATGATACCAGATACTAGTTGTTGCTTTTTCTGTTTCTGTAAAATGTGTATAGAAAACCGCCTCGGTAACAAGAAATTCACACAAATTAAAGAAGCAACATAAATGAAAAAACCATTCTGAATAAACCTTCACTGTGTTCAAAGAGCTATTCATGAATCTCAACGCTTCTTGAAGGGCACCATTTAATATCGTTGGAGTGTGTAAATCATCAGAAAGTTTCGACTCAAACTCATTATGCAGCTTCTTGATGCATTCCTGGGCAGCAGCGCTTACACGGCCTCCTTTCATTTCAATACCATCTTGTAACTTTGAAACGGCTTCTTTACAATCTTGTAATGTCTAGATCACAAATTAAAAATCAAATTTCGAGGGGTAAAGGCAACATACAAACTGGGGATAGAATTCATACATATACTACAAAACTTTGACATAATACAGACCACCGAAAGTATATTTCTACCTGATATATATAGTACAGAGATTCTGATGCAATTTCTATCTGTGATATCGAATAATTGACCGGAGAACGGTAGTGTGTCCCCAACAAGAAATATCTCAATGCAAGGGGATGGTAGAGCTTGGTAACCTACAAAACGAGAATATACAGGCCACATGATCTGAAAGTATACCGATATAACTAACATAACTAACACTAATATTATTACCAAAATTTACCTCACGAATGGTGAAGAAGTTTCCAAGTGATTTTGACATTTTCTCATCGTTTGCAGTGACAAATCCATTGTGTACCCAATAGTTCACTTTACTCTCAGAGCAAGCAGCACAGCTTTGGGCAATCTCATTTTCATGATGAGGAAAAATCAAATCCATACCACCACCGTGAATATCAAATGAGTGAGTCAAATAATGAGCACTCATAGCACTGCACTCTATATGCCATCCTGGCCTTCCAAGACCCCAGGGGCTTTCCCAACTTGGCTCGCCAGGCTTTGCAGCCTGAGAAGTGAAAATATTTTTTTAAGTGCATATAAAATCAATAACAGTAAGCCAGTAACTACAGTTATTAATTCATAGAACCTTCTCACCTTCCACAAGGCAAAGTCAGCCGGATTTCTCTTTCTTGAATCAACAGCAACTCGCTCACCAGCTCGGTTATCTTCTAGTTTCCGTCCAGATAACTTACCATACTCTGGAAATTTATCAACAGAGAAATATACATCCCCATCAACTGTGTAGGCACAACCATTGCTCATTATCTGCAAATGAGATGAGCATTGAATCAAAGGAATTTTGAGGGAGGAATACCAGGCACTGAAACCGAATGCAATAAAGCTAAGAATTTAAGCTGCAATAAAAATATTTTTCATCATTCCTTGCTTCTACAATCCCCAACAAAATGTGAAAAGGCATGCAGAAAAGAAGTACATGAGAATATAAAGGGGGAAAAAACTAGTTCACGGATTTGAAAGAATGTAAGATAATATTCCTTAATTCTCAGCACCATTAATTAAAAAAAAAATCCTTTCATCCTTTCATATGTCAAAATACATGTTATCATGCCCCTAATTAGCACTGCTCAAACCAACAACAAATACAATAACTTCAACATAGGCACAAGTTGAAAAGTGTATAGAGTAGGTTCCAAAGGCTGCCCAATAGCTTTAATAGACAACAAAAGCAATTCAACAGGGAAAAAATAAGGAAAAAGAAGCATATGAAAAGCAAGTTACTTGTGCTATCATTTCCTTTATTTGATCCATATGCTCTGTAACGCGCGGCTGATTGGTGGGCATGAGGCACTGGAGATCAATCATATCATTAAGAAACTCTTGGCAAAACCGACCACTCAATGCTACTGGATCCTCCCCAAGTTCATTTGCTCTTTTAATTATCTGAGAAAAATATGTATACCTTTGGCATCACAACATTCAACACTGGAGACTTGAATAAGAAATAATTTAAGCTTTAGCAATTGCAACACAGACTTGAATGTTGAAGGGCTTGTGAAAGAAAAATAACAGGTTATTTAACCAAAGGCCAGAGCAGAACCAATTCTTTTGGTTGGGAGTAGGGAATTAGATATGACTAATATAAAAACAGAATCTGATCTAAAAAGCAAAACTTCAAAGAAATGTTCCAGGAATCAAACAGAAATTTGAAATGGCTGGTACCTGATAGACATTTTACTTTATGTTTCTATAAAACTATGACACCAATTATATAATATATACCACTGAACTCTATTTTCTCAATAAGCAATATAACTCAACTAAAAGCTATCTAAGTCACTAAGTGGTGATATTTGCAGACTCTGAGCAAGCCCACTTTTCAAGAAGCTGCCATGTTTACTATGTTCCACACTATTGTTTTTGTTCGAGACACTCAGCTACATGCCTTGAAATTTTTAAATTTCTAGTTTTTGTTAATGCCCAGACAAACTCAGCTATATGCCTTCAAAATTTTGAGCATCTATTCACACCAATATAACAAATATTTTTAAATCACAACCCAATTACAACAAGTACAATTGGTTAGACTCAGAACTGTACACTCTTCTGGTTCACATACTTGCAATTGACAAGAACCCAAATTGCCGGGAATTCAGCCTGGATATAGGCAAGATAATCCAGTCACCCAGACAATGCTATTATTGTTGATAACATATTAATTTAGAACAAATAAAACATAGTTCTATAATATCCAAACATTTATTATAACTTATTACTGTTTTGACAAGTCATTTGAACTTTAAAGGAACAAAAAGTGTAGAAACATGGACTAGTCCCTTAGCATTTTACAATCTGGTCTAGGTTTATCAGCACAAATTAACACTCTGGAAGAGACATGATATTCTCCTTGAAGTCCAAATGCAATGTCCACACATGCCTTCATAGATATCATGAGTGAACTCAATTATGTAGGATAGGTACCGGTATTACGAGGGATCAACTAATTCACCCAAGCACATACAAAAGTCAACCCAATCCACGTTTTTTAAGGGCATAAACCATAATTATCCTCTATAAAGTATTCTGGAGATTACTTGGCACAAGAAAACACATTTTGGTAAAAACATGCCAATGAAAGCTCCATTGAATAAAATAATAACTAGAAAAGTATAATGCAATGCATGTTATTAAAAAGTTCTATCTGTAGCAAAAAATAAAGCTGTTGCATTCAAAAAATAGATAGTTTTCTGTTAGAGATACACAAACTGGACCCACTTCATGATCATGAGAAAAATCCCAAGGTTCTTGATACTTTAGCCTAGGCAAGGTCATACATAAGGAGTAAAAAGACAAGATGGATTTGAACCAAGAAATTTAGGAGATTATGATTGTTGAATTTGAAAGATCTAAAGGCCTGGCAGGTGGAGAATAACAACCACCCACCAGTTAGGTAGAGGCAGAGATGAAGAATCAAGGAATGAGAATATGTATATAAAACTGAAAATTACAATATATTACTATAATTCTATGTTTATAATGAAGAAACATCATACAAATATATAGACACACATAACTCTTAAGTAAACACATATTCATAAACAGACCATCCCTGAAGACACAACCCTATTCATAAACAGACCATCCCTGAAGACACAACCCTTTGTTTTTCAACACTCCCCCTCAAGTTGGAACATATGAGAAGTTCCAAGCTTGGATTAAAACATACACTCCACCTTAATCTAAATTACAAATGAAGACTAAATGCAGCTAGATGATAACAGTGTTTGATGGCTTCAAAGAGCCGACACTATGCACAACCTTTGGGAATGAAGATAAATGCACCAAGGGCCAAGCTTAACACAAACAGCCTCACAACATCATAAGTACTCTAGGACTTGCCAACAACAATCTTCATCAAGAGCGGCAAAGCAAACAAAGCATGAGTAACAAATGGGATATAGTAGAGCCCATAGTACTGACAAATACACCCAAAAATAAAGTATGAACATTGAGAACACCAAATGGTTGTTGTTGTTTACACCCCTTATAGGATAAGTGAATAACAAAAGCCTTCCAGAAATAAAAAAGCGCCAAGCTTGAAAACCCTCAAGGATAAATATGGTATACCGAAAATAAAGAAACAAATACAATTATACCAAAACACCCTGGAAAGAAATTTGGAAACAAACCCAAAAAGCCTTCAAACTTCACCAAAAGGTCCAAAGAAGGGAAAAACAACAATCTGAAAAATTTTCACCGGAAAAGTACATCAAGAGAAAAACACATGTGCCGGCGCGTGAAGATTGCAGTGGCGCATGACGACAGCGGCAATGCAAGAAGGCGACAAATTTTCCAGATAAGGTCACAAAAAGGAAGAATCCATTGATGTAGGAGGTGAGATCACAAAATCACTAGAGAAAAAGAGATGTGAGAAAAGCCAAACGAAGCCCCGACTATTTGTGATGCCACGTGTGGGCGCATGCAGCAGCGGATGACAACGGCGTTTCTTGGGCAAGGTCGCGATGTGATCCCAAGTGTGACCGGTGGTAGATTTTGAAGTAAACCACCATAAACATGTCGGAATCCTAGAGATAGTTTCTGGCTTCTGTCTACGCCAAAAAATGGGAAGGAAAATACACTAAGAAAGTAAGCTATGATAGCATGTTGAATTTGAATGATCTAAAGGTCTGGTGGGTGGAGAATAACAACCAACAGCCAATTAGGCGGAAGCAGAGATGAAGAATCAAGGAATGCGAAAACGTAAAATTACAATATAATAATATATTACTATATAATTCTATGTTTCTAATGAATAAACATCATACAAATATATAGAGACACATAACTCTTAAGTAAGCACCTATTCATAAACAGACACAACCCTTTGTTTTTCAACAACGATATTTTTATAAAGTAAAACACAAGGGAATTCTAAGAATATCCCTCCAGCAAGAATAAATTCCTACCAACAGCTAGTTAGAGCTATTTGTGCCAATTCCCCTGGATGCTCTCTATTCCAAGAATGGTCCTTATTTATAATCTATTACCATATGCAAAATAAGAATCCATAAAATAAGCAAGGAATATCAATTACTAATTACTAATTACATAATCAGTAAATCCATGATTATATGCTTCCTTGAATTTTTCCTTTTGAATGATTTGATTAATTCCCTTCTATGCCTGGTTTGTATCAGTCATTTATAAACAAAATTATCTCATGGCAATATACAAAAGCATCTAGTTGAATCATTTCAATCTGATCGCATAGGTCTCAGGAGATACTAACATTAAAATTACTTTAGTATTGATGTATTGTGCATCACAAATAACATATACATGAAACTAACTCTTGGAATTTTAAAAAGCTAGTATACAACCAAAACAACAAACTTTAGGGTGAAAAATATCTCACCTTGTCATCCACATCCGTAAAATTACGCACATAAACCACTTCATATCCCAAGTATCTTAGATATCTGTGAACATCCAGTACTAGAAATTCTTATTACGTGGTTGAATAAAGAACAAAGCAGAAATAGAAATCATTAAATGCTTGAACTAAAGCATTCCAAACATGTAGCTCCAAGACATAAATGCAAGTTCATCACAACAAATGGTTTGCAAAACATATATACCACATTTATTCTTCCTCAAATGAGCGCTAATCGTAGAACAAGAAGCATTCCCAGTTATTGGTTAGATTCAAACAACCTATAAAGATGATACTAATGCACTTCAATTAATGTTTACAATAAAAGAGTTTCACGTACAATATAAATTAGAGGACAGTACTCAAAAATCTAAACTTCAAATTATAAAAAATAAATTCATCAGAATTCATAATCAATTCAAATAATCTTAGAAGCAACTGAAATTAAACTCATTTGCAATATGCAAGCAACCATATGCCAAAAGATAAAAACATGAACTTATTCAAACAACCCTTAAAGGTGATAATTAGGCACTTCAATTAGGAATATATAATAAGAGAGTTTCAAGTTCAATATATAAAACACTCAGATATCGAGCTATACTCACAAAACAAAACAAAACAAAAAAAAAAAAAAAAACAGTTGTCACAAATCTCAATCAATTCAATTAAAGAATCTTAGAAGCAGCTGAAATTAAACTTCATTTGCCAAACCATAAAATCTGAACAACGATGATCCAGTCCATGAAAATGCGGATGCAAGAAGCAAACTTGCACATAGGATAAACATTAACACAACATAAATTTCATATTAAAATTCACTAAGAAGTATATCACATATTAGAAAAAGGAAATTGGACCTGTAGAGAATATCGAAAGCTACATAGGCTCGAGCGTGGCCAATGTGGCTGAAATCGTAGCTGGTGACGCCACAGATATACATTCCCACCTTACCATCCTCCTTCGGCTTGAAAACTTCCTTCTGCTTAGTCATGCTATTGTGCAGGAACAGTTCCAGCCGTTTCTTCCCCATTTTTGGAGTTTCTCCAATCGGCCAGATCAATTGAGCACCAACAAAACCCTAAGCCCTCTGCTGTTAAAACTGATGCTTTTATTTTCGGGCATTCAAGATTTGGGTTTAACCAGGTTCTTTCTCCTGAAATTGCAAAGAAGTCCCTATTTATCATTAAAATGTTGATACTAGCCCAGAACTGTTAGAAAGAAATACATTCGATTAGATCTAAATCTACTCGGACAAATTTTAAAATTTGCATTATTTGCTTCATTAGTATATTTAAAGCCCTAGGCCCGACGGGGTGGGACAAAAAAGCCCACTCTTTGGCAGGCCTAGGTTTTGCTAGCTCACCCACCCCGCCACACCACCCCCCTTCTTAAACACAAATATAAAATACAAATATATAGGGCAGATTGGCATATATAGAAGAGTAAAAAATATAGATTGGCAGATATACAGTATAATAAAACATACAGTTTTTTTTTTTTTTTTGGCTTAATAAACATTCAATATAAATCAATAAACATACAAATATACAATATAAAATATAATTTATACATATATACAGTATAAACATACAAAATAAATGGCAGATTGGCAGAGGGCGGCGGTCTGCGGAGTTCCTGTCGCTGGTTCACGGTGGACGGCGGCGGCGGTCAGTGGAGCAAACAGTCGCCGGTTCACTGCAGTCGGCGGCGGCCTCGGGTTCGCGGTCGCCTGTACGGTTGTACTCTGCAGGCAGCGAACGGAAGATTGGGAAGAGAGTAAACCGAGAGACGAGAGAGAGTGAGAGGGCGAGAGTCAGAGGCTAGGGTTAGATTATTAGATTATTTACCATTACTATATATATATATATTGCTTGGTAAAATAGTTAGTCTATAGGCCAATTTTAATTTATTTCACCATTATTAGTTGTTTGACTTGGTAAAATGGCGGTTAGCTGATTGTATTAATTAGAATGTATAAATAGTTGATAACATTAGCTGATTGTAGAAATGTGTTTGGTAAATTAGTTGTTAGCTGATAGCTGTTTGGTATAATTTATTTTCTCAAAAAAACTAATTGAAAAAGTTGCTTGGAGTAGATTTTTTAATTTTAGCCTTTTGGAATTACAAAAAGCTAATTAACCAAACATTTATATTGATATTTTAACTAAATCAAACAATTAATAGTGCCGATAAGTGTTTGGTTAATTAGCTTTTTGTACTCCAAAATGTTCTAAAATTCAAAAAGCTACTAAAAGCAACTTTTTCAATTAGTTTTTTTTAATAAAAAAAATTATACCAAATAGCTATCAGCTAATTTACCAAATACCTTTCTACAATCAACTAATGTTATCAACTAGTTATGCCATCTAATTGACTCAATCAGCTAACCGCTAACAATTATTAGCTAGCAACCATTTACCAAACAGGGCCTATATATGTGTGTGCCAAGCTTGTGCTGACACTTCTGTGGCTCTCATTGAGAGAATGTAACAGGATCAAAAAACTACAGTGGTGAATATTGACTCTTTGCTGCAATATATAGAGAAAGTATAGAGCATATACTATATTGTAATAGAGTCAATAATACTCAATATATATATATATATATATATATATATATATATATATATATATATATAAATTTTTATTCATATTGTTGGAATTATAATACATAAGAAATATAACTAGAAATAATGAATTTAATTATGTAAACTTCTTTTATAAAATTATCTAAATATGTATTATATTAACCCTATAAAATTTTATTTTTAAATTTGGTATGCTATCAAAAATATAACAACAAAATATATGGGATGTCCAACTATATATTATTATATTGTACAATTTAATATCTTTAACCGTTTAAGTCATTTCTTCCCTATTTTCTCATTTGTTCGATTGGCCAGCCCGATCAATTAGCTTGGATGGCAATAAAACTCTAAGCCAAGTAAAATGAAACTGTCAGTTTACTCTTAAAATTGAATCGTTGACATTTGATAAAAATTTTATTTGTATTTAATCGGGTCGAGTATTTGTTTTCCTATAAGATTCTTTTGGGCATTATGACTTGATGCAATGGTCGGGCTTATATAGTTGAGAACGGAAACCATATTACCCACCATTCTTTCTCATAAATAGCCATATGTTCCATTTTGTCCTTTTGCGCTTCCCAGAACGAACAACTCCAATTCCACCTCCCAAATCAGACAAAGTTGTCTTGCAGATCACGTACTCCATCTCTTCCCCTTTTCTCAGAATCGTAATCCCTGTCTCCTTCTTGGTAATCGTTTATATTTGAAGTCTGCTAAAAACCAAACCAATCACCAACACCCCATTTTAGCTTCATTATGCGTTTTAATAGATTTTTTAGGTCCAGCTTCATTGACTGGACAAGTTCTCCTTCATAGTTTCTAATAGCTGTGGCTATGCATATATGAAACTTGTTGGGAGATTATCCTATATATTTAGTTCGTTGTATATAGTTAAGTACTAACTTTATGGTACAAATTTAGTTAAATATTATGTTTATGTTTATTTTTTAAATTTTTGTTAGTACGAACATTTACATTGGAGAATAATTTTTCACGAGATAAATGCTAGGATGATTTATAAGAGCATCACCACTCGTGATTTTGTCAGAAAACAAGCCAACTAAGCAGAGAGAAGCAAGAGAGAGGCAAGAGGTGTTGGGGAAAATTGCAACGTCAACGCGCGATCTGGAAGCCTTTTAAGAAGCACGGACACTATTGGTGTATGGTTGAAAGGAAATCTGTGCCGTGTTATAATAACACTACCTTAAAAGCGTTATTTGCCCGGTAACGGTGCAGTTAGAACCCTGGCACGCTTTCGACAGGCTACACAGACCTACTACGGATAGCTTGCACTAGCAATAACGTAGGCGAACCTCACTATTGCTCAGACGGGAGGGAGAAGGAGAATAGAATAAATGACTCGAATTCAAGGTGTGTTTTGAAACGACGTTCGGAGCTGCTATTTATAGTAAGCAGCCCCTCCATCCCACCCACATGATGGACACAGGGTTTTGTCCACATTTTAGCGCCTTTGGCGCTACTCCTTACATAGGAGCGCACTGTGCGCTACCATGTAATGAAATGGGTTTCCCAATTCATAATCCAATGACAAAGTCAAAGGGGTGAGGTGGATATGGAACCTTTCATCTTTTAATTTTCCCAACAATCCCCCACAAATTTAAAGAGGAAAGGAAAAGGGTAAGGTCTGAGCAATACAAATGAGTTGATCTTAATGTCAGTGTTTGAGAACTTGAACTGACATGTAGTGACACTGAGTAATTTTCTTTCCGGGAGTGATGTGAATCTTGAACTCACCGGTTAGATAAATTTTGAACTCGAATGCACACACCAACTCAAAAGGCAGGTTCTACAAAAGTCAAACTCTTTGACTTCTTATGAACACCCTTAGTATTAAAGAATGTTACGTCTGTCTCAAATATGGACTTCTACCCTGTCAAAGTCTATCACACAATAGACTTTTAACTCTGACAAGTCTTACCGCATTACAAATTTTATGTCTTATCAAGTCTACCTCAATATAGACTGTTAACTCTATCAGGTCTATCTTAGTATAGACTACCATTAAAGGCTTATAGAGTGGTTAAGGACATAAATCAGTTGTAAGTCTTTTCTTTCTATCATAGGCTGTTATTTGCAATGCAAACGACAGTTTGTGAATCACAATGTGGTGAAGATGTTGGACACCCCCACAATTACACGGTTATCACCATGTTTCTTAGCCACTCAGCTTCTTGGGATAACCCCATTATCTTTCATAAGAGGCGGTTAGCCCTTTTCTACTCAAGTTAGAGGTCTCTTTAGGTCTATCTCAACATAGACCATTGTAGCCCTTTTCCACTCAAGTTAGGGATCTCTTTAGGTCTATCTCAACATAGATCATCCCAATTGAGTATAAGAGGCTAAACTTCCAATGTGGGACAACATGGATAGGCAAAAGGAAGCCTTTCCTTTTAAATGCTCCCAACAATCCCCCACCATTAAAGGGACTTAGGCTGATGCTGTCATTGCCTGACAACGATCAAAACAAATTTTCATGCCAGTGTATAAAACTTGAACTGTCATATAGTGACATTAAGTACTTCTCTAAATGGGAGTGAATTTGATCTTGAACTCATCGAATAAACAAAGTTTGAACTTAACGCACTTAATTTGCTTTGGTCGCTTTAAAATATGTGAGGTCATACTCTTGACCCTGAGATATCCCCTGTTAGGTCTATTCTAGAATAGACCTTCAACTCTGTCAAGTCTATCTCAACGCAGACCACCATGACTGGCTACAGAGTATCTATGGGCACCACGAGCACTTTGTACTCATGTCATTATGCGGTGAATTCATTAGGTTTGTCTCAACAAAACCACCATTTCTCAAAGAGTTATGAATTCATTAAGAGCTGTAGCTCAACCTCACATGCGGTGAATTCATTAAGTTTGTCTCAACAAAACCACCCTTTCTCAAAGAGTTATGAATTCATTAAGAGCTGTAGCTCAACCTCACAGGTACACACACTGTCGGAATGACCAACTAGTGTACTATTTTGTAACTCTTTTCATGGTTTCGTTTGACCACAGAAGTGGGATCCACCACGAATTCATTACCACTTGAACTTTAAGTCCTTCCAATGAGTCAACGAATAATCCTCATAATTAGCCCTCAAGTAAGTTGATTCTTTTGACCAAACTTACATGCACTTTGACGAGTATTTCGTTTACTCGTAAATAATCCCTTGAGATTTTCATGTTTAACATGACACATTCTCTTTCATCATTATTCTCAATACCACAGAGAAACTTTTGATGAAAATATATGGAGTTTATAACCCCACAAAGCAACACTTACAAATATTTTTGTCAAATGTAATGATCTCTTACCCAGACTGATATTTGATGCCCATCATTAGCTCCTTTGTAGACTGAGTTTTGCCGACTTGCTTTGTGGAGCATTATAGAAGCTTCGCACTCTGCCTGATACATGCTCAACAGTTGATATTTCAACAAACTTGGTTATCTCAATTGATCACAACTACCATTTAACTAGGAATTATAGGTATTTCAATATGACTCAACCAAGAGTTTAAATAATATATATATATATATATATATATATATATATATATATATATATATATATATATATATATATATATATATATATATATATATATATATAAATGCTCATTGTTAGTAAGCCATAGAAATAATGTTGTTCACATGCTACATGAAGTTGAACAATATAATCACAAATTTCACATCATATTCTTATAAGAAATTAATCTCATACAAAAGGAATATGTTTGAGCTCATATTTATTCGGAATATCTCTCAACAATGAGACTTCAGAGTTGCCACTAGCACAATTTTTCCTTCCCTTAAGGAATTTAAACCTCATATAAAGCATTTATAGGATGCAGATCAATATTACTACTGCAGTACTTCAACAACTTCTATTGCAAGGCTTTGATTGTATTAGCAACATATGAAAGTCATCCTCATTTCAGGTAAAGATCAAGTGGCGCTCTAACTAGCCTGCATGATCAACACCCTACTTCTTAAAACTCCCAGGTCGAGTGGTGAAACCAAAGTTTACTTAAAAACCATCTTCCTAGACAGAGTGTTCAAGAATGATGACTTTTCCATGTTCTCACTAAATTACAATTGAAGCCTATGATATATGCTCTTAATTTTATACAAATAATTTTAGTAAAAAGTTTGAGCAATATCTATGCACGAATTATTTCAATTAATGTCATTAGTATTCAAA